TTTTTTTTTTTTTTTTTTTTTAAGTTAGAATGCCTAAATAAACTCCAATTTCTTCTCCCCTCCCCCCCAAAAAAAAAAAGAAATCCCATTTCTTCATCATTGCTGTCGGACCACCTTCTCATTAAAGCCATGGCTGTTGAACGATTTCGATGTTGGAACCCACTACCATCGGGTGTTTTCATGCCACCTTCTTCTCCAGTCTATTCAACATGTCTCATGGCCTCTCAATCAGGAAACAAATTGAAACCCCAATCATCTCTTAAACCTAAGTATCTACGAAGTCCATGGCTTGGCATCAATCTTTATCCTCGATCGTCAAATCCCAACTTGACTTCCAAAATCGCTGCCCGATCCCTTCCACCATAGTGTTTAACCTCCCAAGTCTGACGATCATGTTGTTTCCGTGGATGCTTAAGGCCTGAGACACCAACTTTGTTAAGGTTGATCAAAGCCCAAATTGAGTTTGATCTCATCCAGGTAAGTTTTGCTCTTTTTTTCCCCCTTAATCTTTCAATTTATTGCATTTTATTGATTTCTTACCCAGCTTCCATTGTAAGGTTGGTTTTGATGTTCTCTGGATTTATGTTATGTTGTGTTGTTTTAACTTCAGTATAATGTTGATTTGTTCAACTCATCTTTTCTTTTGGTACATCTAAACAATGCTCGTGTATCTCCCTTGGTTATCTACTTTTTCCTATTTGGGGAATGCATTTCACTATTTATTGTCTACCATATTTCTAAAATTTTTTGTTTGCTGCATATCAATAAAACTATTGGTTTGCCTATTTTGTTATCAAAAGCCTCACTTAAGACGTCACTTTTGTCTTATATTTCCAATGCATTGGAAATTTACATTCACCTGCTGATTTCAAATTTTGCCAATTTTATTTTCCCAATTCTTCATCATAATCTATCTAATAAATATTGGTCAAGATATTGTGTTTTCAAAATGATTATTCTTGAGAATAAGCTATGAGTTTTAACAAATTCTTTTACAGTTGTTTACCTTTTCGAATCTCTTACATCTTTATCGTCCTTTCTCACTTGAAATTGGATATGTTAATTCAAATGGTTTAGGTTTGTTTTCATTGAAAAGATTGAAGATGTAATTTTCTGTGCCTATAATTTATGGGATGATCCTGCTAAATCCAATGAAATTCATATCAAGTTAGTTGGTAGTGCCAAAGTGGTTAATGCTCTCAATGACCTAAAATACAAGGTATTTATTTATTTTTATTTTTATTTTTTTGAGATTAGTTTCAGTTAAACTTTCTTATAACATATGCTAATTTTATTTCATAGAAACGAGCAAATGGAGTCTTGACCTATACTGGGTTTATAGGCTGGAGTAGCATGACAGAGGTTTGACCTATAACGTTCAGGGCATAGCATAATTTGCTAAGATAATTGAGATTTTAGAAAGGTTTAGTGTTCTTTGGTTTAGCTAGATGATACCCACATGAATAGTTCTATTTGCATACCACCTTTGTTTTAATTTATTAGAATCTAAATATACTTCCAAATGCATATTAGTTGTACCATTATAATATTCAGTTCATAACAAAGTTAGAGACAAAGGGATTTTTCCAAATGATTTAGTTCATTAGTCTTGATTGAGTTTATATGGAAAATTAGGAGCTTTGCCTATTGAATTTGGTTAGTTTATAACAAAATGTTCAAATGCGTCTTTGACATCTCTCTAATTTTGGGTTTTTTCTGGCAATAGCTGGTGGTAAAAGGGTTTGTCTAACTTTTAGCGTTTTTAGTGTTACAAAATTACCTCCCGCAAAATAGTTAATTGGTTTTAGCTTTGATGCTTCCGGCTTTCCATTTTTTTCAACAATTATTTTACTTTCTTCATCAATTTGTTACATGGTTTGTAAAGAAATGGTGAAGCTATTATGAAGCTATCAGGGTATGAAAGTGCCATCCTATGTAGCATCATTCGTTTAACATGAAGAAATCCCCAAAGATTAACCCTTGAAATATGCATTAGCTCAGGCTTTAGCTTTCTGCTTATACAATTATTATCTCATGCGCAAGACAAATTAGTTAATTATAACTGTTTTTGAATGATTTTCACACTATCCTAACAGTTGATATATGGGATGGACTTTTTTTAAAAAATTTTAATTGTAAGATTTGGTATGTAATAAGGTTCCTTCTCCATTTTTTATAACGATTACTTTGAAAGAATGCAAATTTGTGTAGACATGCAAGAAGTTAATAAATCAAACTGGTTGGTGGAGAGCTCTCAGTTATAATTGTTATTGATATAAAGCTATGGGTGATGCACACTAAAGTTGCTGAAAAGTTTGTCTGTTGCTACAATTAAATAATACTTGTTGGTGATACTGCTCATTGACTCCCTTGTACTTGTGGTTTTGGTTAGTAACTCTGTTTTTCTGAGCAAAAAACATTTTGATTATTTAGAATTTTCCTTATCTTCTAATCAATAGTTTGTAACTGAATTTTCTTGGATGCACGTAAACCCAAGGCTGTGGGATTTACCATTTTACCTTGCCTCTGTTTATTTCCTTCTCCTTT